AATAGGAGATTTTTCGAAGGAAAGGAGATGTCTATTTCTATGCTTAAGTTCTCTATTATTTCCACTCTTTTTTGTTGGGTTTCATGGAGAGATTATAGATCTGTAGAGGAGATTGTTGTTTTTTTGGCCTCTTTGAAGGCTTAGAGGCTCTTTTTGGCCTTGTGTGTTTCTCTTGGGATTTGCTCCCCTTTTGAGCGCTTTTTATAAAATTTTACTTATCAAAAAAAAAAAAGTTGGGTGATTTCTTCATGGCAACCTAAAGAAGAGTCGATCGATATTTTTACCATGACAGATATCAAAGGCTAGGAATGTTTTGTGCTACCAACAATGTGTTGAAGAGGGTAAGCTTGAAGTTGCCTTTTATTGTGAAAAGCTAAATTAAATATTTTTTTTTTAGTTTCGATTAGTTGTGATCCATAACTGAAAATAGAAGGATTTGCATTGTGAAGATGAGATCAAATGTGTCGCATGTTGATAGTGGCATAGAGGTGAGTATTAACACTATTGGACGCATGAGATAAGAAGATGCAAGATCTCTTACTTCCAATCAGAAGTGACCAAAATAAAGAATGAGATATTCTTTTTAATTAAGTTGTTTGTAGTTACTTAGAGTTCCACAAATAAACCTTCCGAAGTTATTTGAGTGGAGGTTCAACAGTGCAAAATGACAATCAATGAGGATATGTTATTGCACTAGAGGTGTCAGAAAAGAAAAAAATTGTTAGGCATCATGTAGGTGTGGTTGTTAAAGGCCTAGTGCGCACACAGGGGCCAAGGTCTCCTAGAGCCCAAGCGCAACACACACTGTGCGTTTGATGAAATTGTATATTAAATCCAAGTGTAGAATTTTTTTTTTTTAAATATGCAATGCAACTAATCAAGATCAAAATATAAGAACGTTTTAACGTATCGATTCAATAGATTAGCTAAATTATCTTCTTCCCGGCCCTTTTTGTTTTTTTTTTTTCCCAGATGAATAGGCTTGGTCACATAAATTCTCTTTTTCCATTCTGTTCTATTATATGCCATTTCACCTCTAATATTTAATTTTTAAAATTATTTTAATTACTTCATTCCATGTTAGTTTAGTCCGGCCTCGCTGTTTCTTACCTTCTATGCAAGCTAATAGGTGTTATTCCTAGTCCCCCTCACACTTTGGTTAGTAAATCTATCTTTTCTAATCATTATTATCATCCACCCCACATCCTCATTTCCATTACATGAATGCATTGTTTTTGTTTCTTTTTGAATGCCCAACACTCTGCCTTGTATGAGATAGCCGGCCTAACAACGATGTATAAAATTTTCCTTTTAACTTTTTTTTTTATTTTATTTTTTATTTTTTATATCACATAGGATACCACTAGCCTATCTCCATTTGGTCCATCCTACTGGCAATATGATTATCTATTTTTCTATTTTTTTGTATTACTGATCCTAAGTATTGCAAATGATGATTTTGATTAATCTTATGGTCCTGGATTTCTATTGTTATATTGTTACTTCCAAATTTTTATTAAATTTACATTCCATATATTTTGTTTGTCTTACTAATTTTTAACCCTTTTGTTTCTAATGCATTACTTAAGTTTCTAATTTTGCTTCCTTAGCCAGCCTTAGAAATATCCGACAAAACTATGTCATCAGCAAACAACATGCACTCTGTGGTATCTTCCTGTATTTCTGTTGTTATTTCGTTTATGACTAGTGTAAATAGGTATGGGTTAACTACTGATCCTTGGTGTAATCCTGCTTTTATAGAGAAATCGTTAGTTTCTTCACATACAGTGTGAACCCTAGTCTTTGTATCCTATACATATCCATAATATTTATACGATTTAAAAGCACTCGTTTTCTATGTAAAACCCACTAAATTACATCCCTTGGAACTCTATCGTAAGTCTATGAAAATCATGTGTATATCTGTTTGTTTACTTCTACATCTTCTATCAATTCCCTAAGTAAACAAATGGCCTCCATAGTAGATCTCCTTGACATAAATTCAAATTGGTTTTCCGACACTGGCGTTTCATTCCTTAATCTTTGTTCTATAACTATTTTCCACAATTTCATGGCATGACTTATTAATTTAATTCCTCAATAAGTACCACAATTTTGTACATCACCTTTATTTTTTTGTATTGAAACGATCCTAGTTTTTCTACATTCACTTGGCATCATTCCTTGTTTTAGAATTTTATTGAATAAATTTATTAGCCATTCAATTCCTACATTTCCTAGCTTCTATTGTTATGTTGTCGGGTCCCACTGCAATGGACTAACTAAATCAATACACATTTATCTTTTCTTCTCGCATATAAATTCAATCAAATCAATGTACAATTGGAACAATTCATGATATGTAACGCAACTAATAATTTATTTATTTATTTATTTTTTCGAAAATGGATATTTTGACAGGTCAATATCAATGCACATTTTTCAATATTCATATGCTTTAAATATTTGGTAAGTTTGAGTAGTAGGATCCACTGAATATGATCGTGATATCATATAGAGCATGTTAATTAATGGTTTAAGGAAAGAAAAGAAGAAGAAGAAGAAGAAGAAGAAGAAGAAGAAGAAGAAAAATAAAAGGCTATGAGTGATTGAAAAATAAAAGGCACTCTTTTATTATTAATTTTAATTTTAATTTTTTATTTTTTTTTGTGGGAACTAAAGCCTTCTAAAAAGTGGGAACTCGAGAATTTTTGTGAGCCTAACCGAAGGGTCTTGACCTTTGTTGGCTGGGGTGCTATAGGTGAGCCTTGATTGAGCCAGAGGGATTATTTAATTCATTTAATGCATAGCGCTGTCATGCTCACAGGGATATTGGCCAATAAGGTCCAATGCTTGAGTATGGAAAGGCTGGATGTGGCAATTTTGAGGGGATAAGTAGGGTGAGTATCAAGAGATAGCAGTTATTTGAACTCTCTTATTGGTGTAGGAGGATAGGTGCAGGATTTGGATTTTCCTTTGTTTAATTGCCACTTTTCACTACTGAGTTCCATTGTAATTGAGTCGAGTCTTAATTTGAAAATAGATTCCAGTATCAGACTTGTGAAACATGAATGAATTGCCTGAGGAGCCATGGTGTCTGCTTGGTGTAGTTGTCTTAGCAGTGTGAACTGGTAATTGTGCAATGATGTTGTCTGTGTTGCATTTGTTGTGACTCTCCACACCAACCTTCAAGAATACTTTTGCACTTGAGTTACCAAAATGTAGGTATCCGTCACTTTTTGGATATAAAGGTGTTCTATGTAGGACAGGGAGGTCCTAGGACATTGGATTATGGTGAAAATGGTGGCAGCTCAGAGGAGAGAGAGAATGGGCAGTATCTGAGATGATGAGATCTGTAGATATGCAAGATAAACTCAAGGTGATTGCTATTCTCCTTACCTCTAATTCAGGCCTGAAGTAGGGGGTGAAGCCCTTTTATTTGAAAAATTCATGTACGGAGAATAGCTGATAGTAGTTCACACACGTGTCGAAGAAAGTGGGAGATACCAACGGGCCAGTGGTCCAGCGGTACCAAGCCCCTACTTCTCATAGGGAGGTTAGGGGTTCAAGCCTCAGTGGAGGCATGGGTATGTGAGTACCAACTAAGAAAAAAAAAAGTGGGATGTGGAGATGCCAGCAAAACAAAGGGAAGTATTTGTAGGCAAGGTGGAAAGTGCACCAAAAACAATCTATAGAAAACACATTTCCAGAGGGCATGTGGCATTTCTCTCTCTTATGGCCAACCAAAATTTAGGCTGTGATTGAGAATATTGGCATACCATTTGTTTCAACGATCAGCCAAATATCTCAAGGGTCCCATTACAAACCATGATGCAACTCTGGCATTATACAAAGGCTGCAACAGAGCTTGAGGAGCTTCCTTGCTTCCTGCCTAGGTGGGCATATGATGCGTCATGGTGCATGCACCTTGAGGCGGCTTTGGTGTAAGGCCTTGGTTGTGCATATTGAGGTGCTAGAGATCGAAATGGGGACAAACACAACTCTAAGAATCAGCATTATATTAGTGCACAGTGGGAGATCCACGATGGTGGTTCTCAGTCAAGAGGTGAGCTAGGTGAACCATGTTCTTGGTGTCCACAGGTTGAGGTAGAAGATTAAGCAACTACGCCTGTTGTCCCGCAAAAGAACAGACCTGTCAGACTCTCAGTTGGTGTGCAGAAATGGAGATATTATACACATCATGATCCTAGTGGATCACATGCAGGAGGAAGTGTATCCTTGTTCAATCTCCAATTGGACGATACCAGTTGTTCTGGAGATGCCACGCAGGCCAAGCAAATAGTGACATGGTGGGATGGGGTCAATACACAACTTTTTGCAGGATTTGATTAGGCTTTGTAACTCTTCAAGCATCTTTTGACTTATTTGCTTCTTCTTTCTTGTTAAAAAATATTAAATCTGTTATCAAGAAATGCAGAGAGGACCAACTCAATAACTCTTTAAAAGTGTGCCTTATCTTTGTCTGAGTTATTTATTTATTTTTTTTCAAAGGCTCTTATTTAACTATCTGAAGCATAGTTATTGTCTGGAATTTTGATTATTCAGCACCAAACATGTAATGGAATTATGGAAACTTGTTTGTAAATTTAATGAAGATGTTGATAGGTTCTGAATATGGGTATATAATGTAATGTTGCTGGATTGTAGTGATGGTCTTATGATTTTTAAGGGTGATGCATGATAAAAGAGAAATTGCATTAACTATATGCTGTTTTGGGCTACATCAACTATTAAGATAGATTGATTAACTAAAGTCTTGTTGAATGATATGATGGTAAATGATATGGCAAAGGAATTCTTTAGTAGCTGTTGTCTGCTTTATTACATTTACCAGCTGGAGCTTACAGCTTTTTTGTTATCTTATATTCTCTGTATAACAGTCCAAATATCTTTTACTAATAATTCTTTCTGCTGTTATTATGGTTCAGCCTCTGAGGAGCTGTCTTAAATTATCTTTCTGAAATTAAAGAATCACGCAGGGAGTGGGAAAAGCATATAATGAGTTGAAGCAAGGAGAGCCAGCTATTGAACGCTTGTTTGATTTGACCAGGTTCAAATCTCAGGTAATTTATTGGTTGATCTCTTTGACTATATTTTAGTTTGGTTATTAATTAATTTGGTATGCGCACTGTAAGAAGCTATACAGTAAATAAGTAAAATGGAAAATAAAGGATAATGAAGCACAATACATAGTAGGGTTAAACATCAAATTCCTTGTTTACCTATCTTGTAGATAATTCAAGCTATGTTGCATACTTCCTAGCTTGTGGAATGCTTACAAGCCTTGACTGGATGCCCTAATTGCGCAGAACTATCTCTTGTGTCATTTTAATAATAATTTTTTGTTTGGAACAATGACAATGCTTAATGGTGGCCACACTGGGTGATGGCCTTTGACAATGACAATTTGTTTTTGACTAAGAGAAATATTATGGAGCTCTCTCTCTCTCTCTGGCGTCTCTATGAGGGATGCCTCCTTCTTCTATCTCTCTTCTTTTATATAGAATTTTTATTTTGCTCTCACAGGGGAAACAAAAAAAAAAAAGGGAATAGAAGTTCAGAGTTAATTTTGGAAGTCACTTGTTGGCTCTTTGGAATTAGAGGCACTATCATTGATTTTCTTTTCTTAAAGGCGTCATCTTATCTTTGAACATTTTTGTTTGTTTTGAGTTGGAAGTACCAAAGAGTTTTTTATTTTTTATTTTTTATTTTTTTAAATGGTGTTTTTAATTATGTGGTGGATTTTTGCCTTGGAGAATTGGGTAGGATTGTTCATTTGAGGGGCTAATGTTAATTGGACAACCACCATTTTCTGCATAATTCTTAGCCTTGGTTATTAAAAGCTTACCTGATAAGTGCAGGATGAATACGCAAGGCTCTGATAGTATAGGTAGTGCCTAAAATATATCTAGAAGGGGTTAAATAGATCTTGTCAAATTTTAACTAACAATAAATGATTTTTTAATTATCTCAATTATATTGTAAAACACAGCAATCTGAATCAGTAGAAATAAATAAATTATGCAATCACACAAGAACACGCTATTTTTACTTGAAAACCCCAAATGGGAAAATTCAATATACTTAATTCAGGCAAACCAAATCCTATATGAGAAAGAAGTATTACAACCGGACTCTTGACACAAACTGATCCACCAGACTCTAGGCACACAGTTCACTCGTCAATAGATTTGCTCCTCATGCGATCCACTTCTCCAACCTGTGATTTGATCTCAAATGACTACTTGTACAATCCTTTAATGTGTAGGTATTGTGGTTGACCATGCTTCAAAGATTCAAATAAACTTCTTGCTTTAGAACTCAATCACACAATAATATAATGTATTCTATGAATAACCTCACTTGTGATTGAAAAACAAAGCTCTTTATCACTCTATCACTCTTACACTTGTGCAATTGTGTTTTCTAGTGTTATTCTTGTGTTTTGATAACGCTAACGTGCCTTATCATAGAGTTGGAGTGATTATAAATTGATTAGGAATGTTTTGGATGAGTTTTGGAACCTTTTCGGACTTGGAAACACATCTTTTATCTACTCTGAGCACCCGTTCGATCAATCAAGCTATTTTGGTGCAACTTCAATTGATCGACATTCAGGTTCTATCAAGTCTAACTTCGGACACTTTTTTGAGGGGTCAAACAAACTCGAAATTAGAATATAATATATCATCGGAAAGCTCATTGTGTTGAGTTTTGTTGATAAAGCTATAACGCAATTGAATTTATTTTATTTTTGATGAATTTTTGAAGACACAGAGGTCAGTTTTCACAACTTGAAATCCTTACCAAGATCAATTTTTCTATTGGTTTTCAACTTAAACTCAAAATATAAGCTTTCTAACCAACATTAAGGTTTCCAAATACATGCCTAATGAAATAATATTCAATTTTAAATCTAAACTAATAAATAATTAGTTTTAAAAAAGTCTAATTAGTTTTAAATTAGATCCAACCTAATTCAAGTTTCTCATTTGTTCACTCTGGATCACATGGTCTCTTAGGCCACTTACCTGTCTTATATTGTGTGATTGATGAAGGTTGAAGCAAGATGTGGATGTGATCCTTCTGCTAGTCTTCAATCTACAATCACAATTTTCAATGTCGAAGCAAACCTTCCACTAAAGTGACTCCACATATATACCATGACGCAACTTTTGCTCATCGAATATCCCAGCACAATGACACACGACACTTTTTCCTATTACTACCTTTTTAAGCATCTTGTACACCTCTCTCTACTCTCTATGATTTTAAAGAAATTGATTCTACCTTTTCTGCCTTTCCATCTCTGGGATGGGATTCTCCTTCCGAATGTTTTAGAGAAGTCAGACTTATGTTCTATTCCTCTTGTTACTGCATCACATGCTCCTATAGAAATCCCTCTTCTTCAGCATTGCCAAGAAAAAAAATGCTCACACTTTTGTCCTGATTAAGCAGTGGTTTGTTTGAGTTGTCCTGATAATGTTGAATGCATCTAGAAAAAGATTATTAAGCCACATCTTAGAGGGTCTTGCAGTCTTGAAGTTGGGTTGTTAGGTTATATGAAAAATTATTTCCCCCTTTAGCATAATGAAGAGACCCAGAATTAAGAGTTGAATTATTTTCTTTTCCTGTGATGTTTGGGACAAGGAAGATGGTGCTAATGACCCTTATTTCTTATGGTAGACCCATGTGAATTTTCTTGGACATGGTTTCCGTAGTCAATGATGCTACATATATGATGAGTTCCTGAAAGGATCTAGACCTTTACATGTGCTTTAATTTATGTGATATTATATTATATCGGAATCGGTGCTAATGCCACAATTGTTCCTCAAGGATTTGATTGAAAATGCATTTAATACGTTTCCGGAAATGCATCGCGTAATCTAATGTTTTAAATATTGTAATGCTTATTTTATTTAAACTATAAGGTGTAAAATAACTAAAATCCTTGAGCTAACAATCAGTGGAACAATTCATCCCTCCATTGTGACTGTCTCTCTCTCTCTCTCTCTCTCTCTCTCTGTGTGACTATCAGTTGAGTACTAGTGCATGTGTGAATTTTCTATTGTGCTTTCTTGGTGTTTGAGGGCTTCAGACCAATGTGTTTGGAATATAATTTGGGGCTTCATGAAATTGAGTACACACTAGAATTTTGCATTTGTTGGTTTGGCAATATTGCTGTATTGAATTTTAAAAGTACAGGCTCTGCTAAAAAGATGAAAGAAGTAGGAAAATCAAGTGATTTTTGTGTGTGTGTGTGTGTGTGCGCGTGCACGTGTGCGCGTGCTCGTGTGTTGAGATGTTCAATAAAAATCCTGTGTTGTTTTAGATATTTTTGCTACGTATCTTTGAATTGCTATATAAATGGTGAAAAGGTAGAGTTTGTTGTCAATATCTATTATATTTGGCTTGATGATTAATATTTCGTTTTGTAGGTAACTCCATATTAATGTATCCCATGTAGTAGGCTATCAACTTTATTGATGGGTGATATTGAATATTGAGATAATAATACAATATAACTGAAACATGCCTGTTTAATGAAGTTTATCTTTGTGTACCTTTGTTGAGCTAAGAACTAGTGTTGTTACTGCAATTCTCATACTTTGTCCTGATAAGTTTGATACTGCAAATTAGCTGCTTATTATGTTTTTGTATGTAGGTGATTGAGAAATCAGATGCAATTTATTTAGATTCTGTTAAAGGAGAGGTGAAATTTTGTGACATCTCATTCAGATATAGGGACAACATGCCTCTTGTTTTGAATGGGTTGGACATTCATATCAGCGCTGGAGAGACAGTTGCTCTTGTTGGGCCCTCTGGTGGAGGAAAAACAACCCTTGTAAAGCTGCTGCTTCGCCTTTATGATCCTATATGCGGTGAGCCATCTAACATTACTAACCTTGTTTTTTCCTCCACAAATTTGTTTTGAGTTTTTGACCATTCAATTATGGCCATTTAGGCTATCTTTTTCAGTTTTATGTGAGTGAATTTTTCTCCCTCCCTTGTTAACAGGTTGTATACTTATAGATAACCATAATATCCAGAGTATCCATTTGGAAAGTTTAAGGAGACATGTTGGTCTGGTCTCTCAGGACATCGTGAGTAACTGACAATGATGTTTCTGTTGCTTTTGTTTCTAAACTTGTATGTGGGTTTATGTAATGCATTTGGAAATGGAATGACCTATTCCATTTTACATGTATAAATATAGAGAGATTTTATGTGTAAATAGATAGAAAGAGGTGAAAATAGAGAGAGAACTGCGATAGAACAGAAGTCTTTTTTCCGGAAAAAGTTGAGGATGGTGTGTCCATAAGTGGGTGACTCTTATATTTTCATCCCATCAGCCCATCTCCAACTTAATAGCAGAAACAACTAGAATAGAACTTGCTTTCTTGAAAAATTAATAATTGACCTGAATGCAGCTTAAAATGGGAGGACCAAAAAGATAACAATTGGCAAGAATGCAGTTCAGAAGTTCCAATTCAAACACACCCTGCATTTGTCAAATTGAAAGTCTTACATTACTTGAACATGTGGGACTTACTTTTGACATTTGAATCTTTTCTTTGCTGCATTTTATATTTTCAGATATTTTTAGCATGTTGTTTTGGAATACTTGGGCTACACATGTTCATAGAGTTTTTGTCCTGTAGTTGGAAGTGGGAAGAAAGAAATGGTTTCTGCATTAGCTATCTATCTACACGATACAATGTGGAGCTTTATAATTTTCAACTTGGGTAAAATTTGATGTTATCTTTTCATAAGCTAAATGTCTTAAATGTTTGAGAGACACAATAAAAGCTTTGTAAATTTTGAAATGCACAGAAATTCTTGAAAGTATAAACCACTGTTACATAAATGTTAATATAACCAAAGAAATGGTTTGAATAATGTATTAGAGTCCAATCATCCTTTGTAATGGCAAGGCAACATTATGGAATGAACAGTCACAAGCTAGTGTGCACCAAATATATTGGATGCACAAGTATAAGTTTCTTTGAAATTCCCCACTTCAAACATGTAAAAAGCATTCTCATTTAAAAATCAAGTTAGAAAATGTGGGACCAGTTAACCTAATCAAGAACTGAGCCTTGACCTTGATAGTTTTGACAAAGAACTCTCTCAGATATACTGAAGGTTGACCAGTTGTGTAGTTACTTCCGAATGCCTTGGGAAATGGTGTCAATATCTCCATGTTCTCTTATTCAGATAATTGGATAGTGGCTCATCTCTGAACCTGCCAGGTCTTTTGTGCTCATTCGACTCAACTATAGTCATAACTGCTTGAGCAAGTGATTCGACCATTTCCTTTCCGGAAAAAACTACCTACACCTATGAGGCTATGACAATCTAGGACTATATTATAGAACTTAGAATCTTATGATTAGTTCAGTTGTAGACAAAGATTACGGAAATTTTGTAAATTTATGGGTAAAAGAATGGGAAAGAGGTTTTATGATTTGTTGACTAAATAGGTCGGAATCTGCTCAAGTCCTTGGGATTTGTATTATGGGTTGCTAGAGTTTAGAATTTAAGTTGCTGGAAATTCCAGCCAGCTACTACTTACGGCATGTCAGTGTTACAACTGAATACCAATATCTAGAGGAAGCCAGAAGGGGTTAAGATTGATTGGGGCTTCTTGTTGGGGTAAATTTTGAAATGAACAATAGGTTAAGTCGTTGATTAAGGGAAGGACTAAGCTCATCAGCTGGGACGCTTTGTTCTTATTGAGATTCTATTGCAGTTTAATGAAAGCATATAAACTGAATGATATAAAGATGGGGATTGAATAGGATAGGTTTTAGGATTATTTTCTTATCTTCTTATCTTTAGGGGTTAGATTTTGTTAGTATTTATCTTTTGATTATCTTTGGTATTTATTTTGTATTTGTCTTTGGTTCTTATCTTTAATATTTATCTCTTGGATTTCCCTATAAAAGAAATTGGTGTAATGGGAAAAAAATATGAATGACGTGAGAATCATTAGAAGTTACTGATTTCGTTCCTTTTTGCTCTCTCTGTCTCTTTAATTTCTTTCTTTTCTTCTCCTTTTCTTTCTTTCTCTTCTTCCTTCTCTTCTCTTTTTCTTCTTTCATCTTCCCTCTCTAACATCAATTACTAGCGCAGGTTTCTGCAGTCTTGCATCAATTGTATAAGAGCAAATTCCAGATCTATCTTCTTTTTTCTCTTCTACTTTTCTTATCACCTCTATCTCTTTGCTTCTCTTTCTTGTTCGCGTTCTCTCCCTTCTTTCTTATCTCTTTCTATTTATAGACCCACTTTCTTCTCATCTCCTTTTCTCTCTAAATCTATGTTACATGGACTCGGGTATGTATCCTTGCTTCGGACGTGTCAAATCTTCAAACAAATGGACGCATGAACACTGCAAAATATTCATTTTATTTAATTATTTTATTTTATTTTCTAGAGTAAAGTAATGTTTTTATGTAATAGTGTTTAATATATGTATTTAACTCATTTTAAAGTAGTAATATAATAAAATTGAATTGTTGGATGTGCTTTTTAACCACTTGTCTAACCAAAAGTGTCCAACACATATCTCATACCCATGTCTGAGCAATATGTGTCCGACACTGGTACTTCACTACTTTCGAAAAGTCATTGTAATATAGCTCTAAAGTTTCATTCTTGTTATCCTTTTCTGTCTCTAGAAACCCCTCTTCTTTTCCTCTATCGTCTCTCTGTCCCTCTCTAAAAGCCCCCCTCTTTCTCTCCCGTGCAAGGTTTTGTTCCACCAGCTAATAGGATAGGCTAATAGAGGTTTCCTGCCCAACCATGTGGCAGTTACAATGCCATATTTTATCAATTTTTGTAATAGAAGACATAATGTTCAAGTACTTAGCGGGTCTACAATTCCTAAATGGCATAATTAGCAAGTATTTGATTTTCGAGACAACATGATGTGCAACAAAGTATTGTGCCACTGCCATAACTGTCTTGCTCGCAAATTTAAATATTAGAATACCTTGTCTAATACCCAAACTTAGTGCGTGCCTGCACTAGATATATAATCACTAAAACACATCCAGTGCTATATTGAATAATATTCACCATCAACCAATAACTAAATTCTATAAAATAAGATCCATAATAATATTTCAAACTATCTTGACTCCTAAGACATAGGTTAACATAAATTAAATTTCTTATAAGAAATGCCATAAAATTAATAATTAAGACCTTGTTCAACCTAAACTTTCATTAAATGATCTCCATGCAAAATTCTCATTTTTTTTTTTTTTTTTTTTTTTTTTTTTTTCTCCTTTACATGTGTGACGCCATTCTTCCCACATTTAGAGAAAAGTTGACTTTTGAATTTCGCAGTGTTGATGTAGAAAAAATCATAAGCATCGGACTTGCATACTTTCGAGGCTTGGAATCAGAAAGATGATTTTCTTTTGAGTGTCAACATTAGCAATTTTTTATGGTCCCCCTCACTATGTCAAAAGTGAAGAAATGATTTATTGGAATAGCTTGTAAACCATGGTCATCTTAGATTGCTCAAGAATAATAAGGCAGCTACAATCTTATCATAGTGCATGTACTGCCCCTTTATGCTCTTTCTAACTACTTTAATATAATGGGACAATTGGTACTACACTCTGATACCAATTGATGGGGTTTTATCACTCAATACGGAACGATATCAATAGAAGAGTAACAATCACCGAGAGTACAGTAACAATCAAATCCTAAGGGCAGCAAGATCTTTCTAATCACAATTATCTTAACAGACCTGGAGGAGGAGGAGGGAGAGAGTGGAATTGAACAGATGATCTCCTTCAACTGGCTGAACAAATAAAGACACAAGCTTGATTGATGTCAAAACTTAAACATGTATTTCACCATACCAATCATTCATGCTTGTAAATATAAACACAAATATTTAAAGCAATTTGAAGTGCAAAATAAACAAAATACTACCTTTGTCCCATATTAGTAGTCCACTATTCCATTTTTGGATGTCCCAAATTAGTCCCCTTTGAAAAGTGAAAGCAAATAACTATTATCTTTCCATCATTGTCCTTTATGTTTTCAAAAAATTTCAAACTTGGTAATACATATTTAAACTACAAAGGACAAGTTAGTAATTTTAAAAGGGGACAATGCATTAATTGCACGTCCCCTTAAAAACTTCAAATTATAAACATGGACGTCTAATATGGGACGGAGGGAGTAAAGTTTAGAGGCACAACAGATTTTTACATGGAAAAACTCCTTTTTTTAAGAAAACCACAGGACTTGGTCTGACAAAATAATCCACTACGTAGAAAGAGATGTACAACCTAGATCTGTTCACTCCTTTGAACACTAGTTGATACCTAGACACTAAACCTTCACTCGTTCAAATATCTATAAGTTATCCTACTGATCTGTCTATAGCATTCAGTACACTCGAACACTGCCTCTTCAACTTGAATCTATTCTTCACAACCTTCAAATATCTGCAAGTCATCCTACTGATCCGTGTATAGCATTCAGTACACTCGAACACTGCCTCTTTAACTTGAATCTATTCTCCACCACCAAATTGTCCAACTTTGATAATCTGGTGGTTATCTCTAAACAACGTTATTGTAGACGTATAGCCAGCTTCAATAGTTCCAACACCTTGATATCAGCATGATCACCATGTCTAATGCATATGATAATAAAAATAAAAAGTGTGCACTCACTAATCACCAGAAGAACATTCACAAATGTATTTTATTTTATTTTATTTTATTTTTTTGTGGACAAAGAAACAAATCAAAGAACAATCAATAACTTTTATGATTGTTTTTGTATGAGAGTATATGGGCACACAATGAGCGCACACTAGGGTTTCTTAGAACACTAGTATATATAGGCAAACTCATCAAGACTTTCCAAAACAGCTTAGGTATGAAATAACTTCGAAAACACATTTTAGAAAACTCTAGCCTGCATAAGCTTTCGATTGGTACCTGTATCTACCTTTGATTGATCGATGCTAGGGTTACTTCGATCGAACCCTACGGGACCCCCTTCGATTACTTTATGATTCAAAAAGGTTTCTCCACGCACAAGTAAGTTTTAGAAAGATTGAAACTAG